CTTAATTTCGCTTTTTTCATGATCTGCGCGTTTCTCTGCTTTCAAATATAAGAGGTTTCATGATTTTATTCATCCTAATCTCTTCTTTTGAGCTTACTTAAACCTCTTCAAGCGCAGCGACTCATTCCTTTAAATTTGCTTCATATTTTTTGAATTGCTGAAGTGCGATGATTCGAATAAATGATGCAAAGCGAAGTCAATGGAAATATTATCAACAGCATACAGGTCAACACTACGAACTAACAACTGTCCCGGGTTTCCCAGCTGTGAGTAACCGCCGACAAATTGTGCGAATGCTTTTGTGCACAAAGCCGCTCTTTATTGCAAATAAGTATGGACCGGACTTGAACCGCTCATCCGGACGCGACGTGCTAAACCAATATCGCATCAAAGCTTACTTGCGCTCACCGAGCAAATTTTCAACAAGTAACACTTCAAAAAATGCCGGCCTTTCGCAGGAATCCGTAACGACTGGCGCTAAGGTGCTCTGCACTGAGATGATATAAAAAAAAGTATCGGAACCTCAACGGGCGGTCGAACTCGTTCCGCGATATTCGCTTCATAACGCTTATCGAGGATGAATTCTTCCACAGGTTTTGGCTTCTTTCCAAAACTTTCCAGAAGCTTTATTTCTTTTTTCAGCTTTCGCCTAAATCAGAACTGACTGTTTCGTCACTGCTCATAACAAGCTGCTCCTCCACAATGAAATAACACAGCTGATTGCTCTTTCACTTTTATTTCACATTATCCCTTGTCCACGATCAAGACCCGTCCCTGTGCTGAATGGGAATGTATACGACTCAGTGGACCGAAATATCCTTGTTCTTTTCCTATTATTCTTAATATAATTTTATATTTTCCATGCAACACCATCAATATCTCTGTTGAACGATGAAAAGCGATGATGGCTCGCTCACCTTTTCCGTTCCTCTCGGATTCGAGCAATTTCGGGATCCATTTTCTTCTGGGCCTTTATGAACGGTGATGTATAACGAACTGCTGAGCCATGCACAGACCGGGCGCCGCCGCTCCTCGCACCGGCCACAACCAGCAACCGAATAAGTTCGCCCATGTGCTGAAATACTGTCACGAACACCAAGACTGCTCAGACTAACAACAACGTTATTACTGGGAAGCTCCTAAATGCCAAGCGCGCAGTTATGGCAGGCAGGCCCTTCGATTCATGGACCGCATACGCTCAGTTAGTTCCCATCGTATGC